TCATTAAGGCGGGGGTGTATAACGAGCAGGCCGTGGTGCGTTCATCATCTTTATCCAAAACCGAAAATCGAGTCAGGTTGAACTTTATTTGCCTCGCACCCAACAGCGCCTCTCGCTTACTACTTCCTTTCCGCCCTTGTAAACACCTTCGTTCTTTCTCCATCGTTCCCTCTTTCCATGTAACAAACTCGCTCTCAAAATCGCCCCTTGTTCGCATGACACGTCCAGCTGCCCGCGTCGCTGAGATTCATCGGACTCGTAGGCGAGAACGGCACGAAGATTACGGCGTCGAATTACTCGGGCCAGTCGAACCTGAACGCCTGCGCCACATTCCAGCTGCTCGCGTCGGACGTGGTCGTCTCCAACATCATCTTCGAAAATGCGCATGGGCCGGGCGTGCCGGGCGGGTATGTTTGTTTCTTTCCATCCACTCAAAAGCCATTCGAACCTAAACGACTGCGCCACGTTCCAACTGATCGCGTCGGACGTTGTCGTCTCCAACATCATCTTCGAAAACGCGCACGGACCTTGCGTGCCGGGCGGGTACGTCATCCTTCCATGGCATGTAACGTTTTATGCATTCGCTTTGCTCTCTTGTTACTCGTTTCTGGTGCATGAGGCTTGTAACGGCTTAACCCTGCTCAGCACAGTGGAGTTAAGCGATTCCAGTGATCTGCTTATTGACGCGACCGACTCACTTGCTCGTCTCAACTGCAATTGCTCGTCCTGATCAAACAAACGACAGGCAAGGGGACCAAGCTGTGGCCGTGAAAGCCGCCGGAACCCGCGTTGCATTCTACGGATGCACGTTCCTCGGGTATCAGGACACCCTGTACGCGGTATCAGGACTCCAGTACTACAAGAACTGCGGTGAGCCATACGTTAGCCGTTGCGATGAGCCATGCTTTAGCCGTTATCTCTCAATCAGAGCACCCTTTGACTGCTTTCCAGAACCGAGAAGGCGTCTGGTGCATCCTTTCGCTCACGGGCCAATATCCTCGCTCCTTTCCATCCTTCTTCGTTCCCTCCTGACTCAGTCCCGCTCTCTTCTTCACTAACGCACTCTTCCCCTCGTTCCGCTCTTCCCCCAGTCATCCAGGGCCGGGTGGATTTCGTGTTTGGAAATGCCAAGGCTCTCTTTCACAACTGCCAGTTTAACCTGGTGTACTGGGGCGGTGGTTACTTCGCACAATCTCGCGAAAAGGGTGACGACACTGGTTACGTAATTCTCGGTGGTTCCCTGAGTCCTCTCGGCCCGGGCCCGATCAAGCCCGGGTATTTGGCGCGCTCGTGGGGTAAATACTCCACCACGATTTTCGTAAACACGTATTTCGCAGCGGGCTCGGTTCGCCCAGAGGGGTGGGGCTACGTGGCGGGTAACAAGAAGCTGCGACGTGTTACTTTTGCAGTGTCAGGGTGTTACGGCCCTGGTTACGACACTTCGCAGTGGGATGATACGGCGGAGATTCTAACCCCGTCAAAAGCAGCCCCGTATTCCAGCATAGCCTATGTTAACCAAGGAGGTTGGATCACCGACCCTAATGTGTTGGTGCGTGGTGTGGGAGGGAAGGTTAATGACGGAGGTGACGGGGCAATCGTCCCTGCTGGCAACGCCACGTCCTCCTTGCCAAAGCCAACTTCCCCTCCCTCGTCTTCGTTACCAAAGCCGTCTCCCCCTCCACCCGCTCCGACCAGCCAAGATGACAAGAAGAGCAAGAAGCGGGATAAGAAGAAGCATAAGGATGACCAGGAGGCGAGGTGTCAAGAGCAACAGCGGGTGTTGCTTGATATGCGGCGCAAGAAAGACCTGTCCCCCGTAGAAAGAGAGCACTGCACACTGTTGTTTATAGGACATACGGTAAGGTGTTAGGTATCGCACCAAGCTAATAAATGTCTTGCAACAAGCCTCGACGTTTCTTTTGCCAAAAATGCCAGAAGTCACAGTTCCATGGTACCATGTGATCGATACCGTATGCTGGTGCTGTTGTTGCAGATGGGAGCAGATGCTGTTTCTTGTTCTAAGAAGCCTGCATGTGTTCTGTTATGACCTTCATACCGTATCACCCCGGATAGAAGCGCAGGCCTATTATAAGCGCATGCGCTTCTATCTGGAGCAATGCGCTTATGGCCGATCCTCAATTATAAGCGCACCCCCTGTGAAAACGTTACTTATTATAAGCGCATGTACAATTTTAAATTAAAATTTCTGTTCGAAACGGTAGCGAGTTTCAATTTTGAAGCGAGTACAATCTCATTTTCGCTGAGTTTGACTCTCGAAGACCTGACTGGCTGCGCGTCCAGTCAGGATGTGCTGGCATGACTGCAAAGTGTCGCATCTTGGCCCCTGTGTGCTGGAAGAGAATCGCTTGCAGGAGATTCTGCATTGTGACGCGAAAATTTTTGACTCGGTTGAAATGGCAAGAGTGAAACATACAATTTGGTGCCTTCAATTTATAAATTCGTATATGTCATTATATAAGCGCATGCGCTTATAAAAATGACTCAATTAGAAGCGCACCCCCCTAAAAAACTCTGCTTTATTATAAGCGCAGGTGCGCTTCTATCCGGGGTAATACGGTATGATAATTTCTACCACGAATACCGTATGTTGAAAACAATGCAATGCAAATCTGCTGTTGAAGACCTGAGTCAGCTCCACCACTACGAATGTATACATCTCACCTTCATCTCTATATACGTACATAACTTGTTCCCCTTTCACGCCTGTGTACTCTGCTCATCTCTTTGATCCCCGCCCTAGGGCATGCCACTATGTATCTACACTGAAAGTGTCAAAACATATTTGTATGTTCTTGGTTCTGCTCAGGGCCCTAGGTATCAGACTTTTTAGTTTGATTCAGAGTCCATTCAGGCTTTTTTTTTGTACCTAGTCTGAACTCAAAGTTTTTCTAGATGTACCTTCTCTGATTTTTCAGAGTTTTTTTTATGTATTGGCTGAAATTTCAGACGAATTTTATGACTGTAGGCTGAGCCCCAGCCTTGTATCGGGGGTGCACTCTGAAACGGGTAATGCAGGTGTTTCCGCCAGCCTGGCGGCGTGTTGCACTAACACTGTCAATCACGGGCTGGAAACGAAAATTTCCCGAGCGCGGCACCGCGCAGTCGCGTTGGTACAGAAATGTTGTACTCTGGTTCAATTCCAGCCAATCGCGGCAGCACAGCATGCAGTGTTGGCAAGATTCCTTGCCAACACATAGCTTGCAGCGCGCTGCACCCGGACGACAGCACAACCATCCACCCCACCCCACCGTCCTCCTTGCCAACGCATAGCTCGCAGCGCGCTGCTACTCTCACATCACCACATCCATCCACCCCACCCACCCCACCTTCCCTGCATACACGGCCAGGTGCCATGCATGCAGTGACCACCAGGGAGATGAGCGGTCCAAATACGAGGACCTCTCATCTTCCTCATCGTCGCCTTTCTTGAGGGTCACTCTGCTGTGCCATGTCTCTCTCGCTTCACATCAATTGCCTCGCCGGAAAGTAGTGCCAGAACCTTGTTTCAGGCTCCCTCTCCTCGACCTCGCAAAACCTACACTCGGCAGACTCAATGGCAGCCATAGACGCTGCCGCCGAAGGGCTCGACGATGACGAAGATGCCTATCGTCGCCCTGTTTCCGACGCTGTGACCGGCCTAGAATTTCTTAGATCAGTCTTTCCGAAGCATGTTCCACCGCCTGCGCCACCTTCGCAACCTAGCTCTAGTCGCACTCCGGTTTCCATGCACTCTGAATCTCTGCCCGAGCCCGTCACTGAACCCGTGATCGTTGCGCCACAGTCGGTGCCCGAGGAGGCGTCCGTTGAAGCACCGTCCCGTCCCGTACCACCGACGAAGCTGCGGTACCGACAGACCACGTTTCCGTGGGCAACTCCACCTCCTCCATCGACCGTTGAAGCTGCAGAGAGCGACAAACCTCCCATGCAGGACAGCTCAAAGCCCACTGACAAATCTCCCTCCGACAAGTTGGATTTGAAATACGAAGAAGCTCACTTTCGTTATAAGACAAAGTGGTCTACCGATTTCTCGTGGCTGATTCTAACTTAAACCACTTCTGGTGCCCCTGGTTTTAAATGCAGTATATGCTTGGAGTTCGCGGGACTGACAGGCAAGTGTGGACGGCGTGGTGAGGGCGCTACCGACGTGCAGACGCAGTCCTTCAAGAAGCATGAAGGGACGGTGAAGCATCGATTTGCTCTGCAGCGGCAGGAGGACCTCTTGCAGAAATATGGGCGACAGCAGCGCATCGATCTACACTCGAAAGCGGAGGACAAGGAGATGTTTCAGGTTTCGTCGCTCGTGGACTCGCTGTACTTCATGAGCAAGTGCAACGAGCCCATGGACTCGTGGATTCGGCTAGTGCGCTACCTGGCGAAGAAGAAGGTGGCCGGTTTTCCAGAGCAGGGGTACGGCACATACTACAATACGTAAGTATTGGCGGTTGTAACCACCGTATTGTTGGATTTCTCTCCTTTTCGATCGCTAACTGCCTCTGTTTGTTTTTTTGTACAGGTACGGCTTCGGGGAACTAACTCAGGCAATTGCAACATGGCTCCAAACAACGCAACTGGAACACCTTCTAACGAGCCCCTTCATCGGGATCACTCTGGACGAGAGCACCGACCGGCGGCGCGCCAAACACATGATTGTGTTTGCCACCTTTCTGCGCAACGGTCAAATTGTGACTGAGTTCGTTGCTCACCTTACGGTTGAGAAAGCTGACGCTGCATCCCTGTGTAGTTTGTTGCTTTCCCACCTCAGGGCTGTCGGCGTTGATCTCCGCCGTATTTCAGGAGCGAGCACAGACGGCGCCATGGTGATGGTGGGGGCCCACAATGGTGTGGTTGCTCGACTTCGGATGCTCATCCCCAACCTGGTTTCGTTCCACTGCATTGCTCACCGGTTCGTTTGTGTTTAGTGCTCATGTGGAGACGTTGGTGAGGTTTTTAATTATATGCTAATCTTGTTTGTTTGTACGATGTGTAGAGAGGCTTTGGCTGCCAAAGCTGCTGCAGAGGCTATACCCACGTTCAACATGATTGACGACGTCATCCGCGCCGTCGCTGAGTACCTGGGGCGATCATCACCGTGGCATCAACGATTCATGGAGCTGCAGGAGGTCTTCACGTCTACCAATCTCGAGGTGCAAGGGATCCACGAGGTGCGGTGGCTTTCAAGGGGTGCTGCAGTCGCCCGCTTTGTCGAGGTCCTCCCTGCCATCGTGGTGATGCTGTCAGAGTGGAAGGATCAGACGATGTACGAGTTGTCACGTCCTACCGGTTTCAGTTCCTGCTACGGTTCCTCGCGGACGTTCTGGAGCTCCTCAACATCCTCTCCAAGGTTTTCCAGCAGCGGGAGGTAAGTAACTTGAGTACATGTATTGTGTTGTCTACACATGTACCCGTGTACTAACTCACTCTGCACTTTTGTGTGGCAGCTCGACTACCCCTTGGTGCATGCGCAGATTTTGCGCACAACGTCTCTCTTGGAGAGCCGGTACATCGACTACGGAGACGACTTCGGCGGCGGCCCCAACGAGCGGCTTTATCGCTTCATTGAGAAGCACGGACCGAAGGGGTCACCAGAGATGGTGGTGGAAGGCGCGTCGTCAGATGGGAGCCTCAACCGCTTCAAGGTCATCCTACACGAGCGCAGAGTGGCGAACTATCTTGGGCCAGGTCATCACGATGCGTGTGTGGCGCTCTGCGCCGACATGGCCGAGCTCCTCGTCCAACAGCTCCAGTCAAAGCTCGGCGACCTCGACTCTCTTTCCGGCGTGCGACTTTTCATTCCTGACTTGTGGCAACCGAATTGGGAGAGGCACGCGTGGCAGGCACAGTGCCTTGAGTGGCTGTTGTCATTAGTCACTCTGTTTCGCGCCGATGGCTCAGACGAGATTCTACCAGGTCAGTTCATGATTGCACGCTCGGTCGACCGTTGAAAATGCGTCCTTTACTAATCCCATGCCTTGTCTTATCTTGCAGGCATTGACAAGAAGCGTGCCGTGAAGGAGCTGCGGACTCTGTGCCCAGTCCTGGCCAGAGCTCCTAAGAGCGAGCGTAAGTTCAACACGGGACTGACTGCAATTCTCAAGATACCTGACTGGCAGCAAGCGTACCCCAACCTCGTCAGACTATGGGTGGCGATTGCAGTGCTGCCTCTCAGCACCGTCGAGTGTGAGAGAGGATTCTCTCGACAGAATCTCATCAAGACGTGGCAGAGGGGCAGTATCAAGGACTGTAGGCTCAGTGATCTGCTGTGTATGTCATTGCTAGATTATGAGCTAGATGTGCCTGGTGTAGTAGAAATTTGGCGCAGCTACAAGAAGCGCCGGCCAGTCACAGCACCTGCTTCTAGACACAGGGAGCCCCCAAGGGCTGGGAAGGAGCTTGTAGAGGAGCGAGTAGTTGAGCGGGCAGCTGTAGATACTTATCTGTCAGAATATGAGTCAGATAGTTGAAATGTTTCTTTAATGAAGTATAAAAGTCATCTGCCTTCAATTTTAGTCTAACTCTGAATGTTCAGCCTAAAAAAACTAGTGTTGTCTGAATTTCCAGCCACAAAATTTCAGGCAACTCTGACTGACAGAGTTCAAAGAAGGGTGCACGCTGACCCATCAGAGTGTCCCAAAACGAATCTAGGGGCCTGGTTCTGCTAGACTACTGTGAGGTGCTCAGTATAGAGTACAACCCCAGTTAGGGTTTCATACTTGTATCTCCCTGTTGGCTAGTCATTCATCATTCCTGCAATAGTTATCTCGACATGGTTTCAGAGCAGGAACACGGTTAGATTTTTTTGGGCCCACCAAATCGATCCGCTAGACCCTGCCCGGAGCGCCCTTACGCTGCCTTGCCCTGCCCTTACAGTGTCGCGCTGCCCTACTGACACGCGCACTAGCTGCCCTAGCGTGCTGCCTGCTGCAAGAGCGCCAGCTACCCGCACGCGTCGCGCTGCCTGCCCGCTGCGCGCCCTGCCTGCACGCTGCGCTCGCTGCTCGCGCCCTGCCTACGTTGCCCGCGCGCTGTCTGCGCCACCCGCGTGTTGCATTTGCTGCCCGCGCGCTGCTCGCCCCGCCCACGATCTGCACGTGCGCTGTACTAACGGGAGTGGAGTGTTGGCCCTGCCCTCGCTTGGGCAACGCCGACGACTTGGTCGGATGTACGGGAGAAGCAGCCGACCGTTCGCAGTTAAGGAGCTGCTCGACGGGCTTCGTCGAGCTGCAGGGGATCACTGCGGTGTTGCCGTCGACCAGGAGTGCTCGACGACCTTCTTCTGCGGGGCAGGTCGACGAGGTGGTTGTCGACCTGCACAGGACTGTCACGGGGCTGGAGCCGTCGACCAGGGAGCTCGATAGCTGCAGCTGACTAGGCTGGGCGATGGGTGGGCCGTCGACCAGGAGGAGCAGTTCGACCGGGAGGTCGACGAAGCAGTCCGTCGACCTGACATGTGAGCAGCGGTCGACGAGGGGAGCTCGGCGACAAGAGCTCACAACGCTGGTCGACGGAGGGGCCCGTCGACCAAGGGGTAGCTCGACGGGAGCTGTGGTCAACCAGAGGCACCTGATGGTCGACCAGAGGCATTGGTGGTCGACCAGAGCACTTGGTGGTTGACCAGGTCAACCGCGTAACCTGCTCGGCGAGTTCTGCGGAGGCACGCGAATGTCGTCGAGGTCGCGGTGACGAAGGCGACTTCGGGCTAGTATCCTGAAGTCGATGTGGCTCGTCAGGCGCAGACAACAGCCGGCGGATGCACAACGGAGCAAGTCGGGCCAATCATCTGCGTGCACCTACGAGCGTGCGCACTGCTGTCTTCTACGGGGCAACGCTGGACAGCCGCTCTGCTGCAGCGTTGGCACACCGTCGACCTGCTGTGTTGGCAGGTCGCCTTTCTGCAGTGCTGGCGCGGCTCCTCTACGCAACGCTGGCAGGCGGTCGACCATGCTGTGCTGTTTGTCGACCAGGCTAGCTGCAGAGTTGCTAGGTGCCTGATGTAGTCATTCTGTCATTGATTGTTCAATCATTCTGTAATTCCAACTTTGCCTAGTGAAACTCTTGCTGATTTCTCCCGTGTATGTGCAAGCATTTAGGAACTAAGCAAAGCTACGATCACTCCTAGTAGTTCGTGCCAACCCCCGTAGTCTAGCTCACTACCGTTGTAGAGTGACTCTCCGCATGGTGTGGTGAGCGTGGACGGCCCTGTCAGAATCCCAACCACTAGACCACTGGGATAAAATGGCTTGTTAAGTAGCGGGTCAGTGCGCCCATAACCCCCCAGGCCAACAAGCCTGTAACCCTTCCCTAGGATCAATCGGGGATCACCAGTGGACCTCTGACACCCCCCCGCACTGGGATGCCCGAAGTGCACACACTGGGATTCGAACCCGAGACCTTTGCTCTGATACCATGTCAGAATCCCAACCACTAGACCACTGGGATAAAAGGGCTCGTTAAGTAGCGGGTCAGTGCGCCCATAACCCCCCAGGCCAACAAGCCTGTAACCCTTCCCTAGGATCAATCGGGGATCACCAGTGGACCTCTGACAGGCCCCGCAAATTACCTTAGGAGCCGACTTTTACACCTACTAAGTCGTTCGTAGGCCGGCAGCAGCGTTAGTCACCATGGTCGACCCCGTAGCTAATACGGGCGTAGCAGACACCTTGGAGGCACGTTTGGCTGATGCGAGGAAACGCCATGAGGATGGCGAGTACGGGTCGATCCCCTGAGCGATCGCTAAGTTGGGCATCCGGGCGCAGTGGGCGACGGAACACCCTTCCCGTCCTGATTCTCCTCGACCAGTGCGAAACGAAGGTGGCGTCGACGACGAGGTCGACGGCGGTGCACGAGTCAGCGGCAACGATATCATGAAACAGAGAGGTGTGATCAAGGTCGACGGTGGCGTCGACAGAAGTCAGGCGCGAGTGCAGCGGTCGACGGTGGCTGCATGCAGCTCGCGTGCCGACGTCGATGGTCGATGTCGCTCTCCTCTACGAAGTGGTGAAGGGTTCTCGGTGATGACGCACGTGACAGCAGGAGGGATCGCACCGGCGTATGGCTACTTCAAGTTTTCGCCGGACCGAATAACTGTCACACCTCTGCAAGGTCGACGGGACCTCATCACCTGGAGGGAGTCGATAGAACCTCAGCTGGAGGTCGCCGGGCTGAAGGGCTTCGCCTACGGCACCGTGCCAATTCCGCCTGTGGACGATGTCAAGCTACGCGGGGAGTTTCGTGCTGCTCACTTGCTCACCTTCATGGTCATCTCGAGGTGCTGCTTGCCGGTGGTGCAGCTAGCGCTCAGCTCTTGTCGAGAGCGACTAGATGCTGGTCACCAAGCATGACACTTCATCCTGTCGACGTACTAGGCCAAGGACGACCTGTACATCAGACAGTTGGAGGAGAAGATGACACACATTGGGATGGGCGAGCAGGATTCGGCGACGGACTACTGCACCCGTGCTCGATGAATCATGGTTGAGATATGGATGGCGGGCGCCGACTACTCTACGGCGTCCTACATCACCCACGTCCACAAGGGCCTTCCGCATAGCTATAACCTCATGAAGAGGATGACGATGGTGCCCGGCACTCGTGAGTCCCTCAACAAGGACTCCCTCACCAGCTACATCCTCCAAGATGAGGCGGTGCAGGAGGCAGAACAGCCCACGGAGCTCTTTCCGCAGGTAAGTTACGCTGCACCGACGAAGCAGATTTGTCCGCAAGAGCAGCGCGGGAAGCCGGGCGGAGGTGGTAGCGGAGGTGGGCGGTCGACGAAGAACGTCGATGAGAAGAGGTCGACGCGGGACAAGGGTCGAGGAGGTGGTGGTCGACGGCGGGAGTGCTGGATCTGCCACGACCCCGACCATCTCTCCTACAAATGCCCCGAACGCGACGACAACGATGAGGACGACAACAAGGGAGGCCGCGGTCGATCGGCTAGTCGTCGCCCCCGTCGAGATGCAAAGCCGCGCAAGGAGAAGCAGACGTCGAAGACGACATCATCGACGAAGGACGTCGACAACTCCAGCGGCAAGGGCCGAGGCGACGGGGAGTCGTCGTGCTCGATGGTCGGCGTAGTGGAGCCAACAGTATCGCTAGTGCCGAAGGCTGGCGAGGACTTCCAGGCAGTGGTGGAAGCTGTGCAAGCCAACCCGATGGCAGTGCTGCTCGACAACGGCTGCTCCCACCACCTGATGGGGACGAAGGCGGTCTTCGTCGACATGGCGCCGAGCGACGGCGTAAAGCACGTGCGTGGATTCAATGGGGCACTACAGCCTGTTGAGGGTCACGGAACCGTCGCTGCCAAGGATGGTCGCGGAATCGTTGAGGGTGGCTGTCGTGCACATTGACTTGTGCGGGCCATTTCGGGTTGCTGCCAAGGATGGCAGCTTGTACTTTCTGCTGCTGAAGGATCGCCACATTCGGTTTGTGTGGGTGATGCCGGTCGCTAAGAAGAGCGACGTACTGCGGAACGGCAGGCGAAGAAGTCCGTGCTGATGCTCCGCTCAGACCGGGGAGGGGAGGTCCTCGGGAAGGAGTTCACCGACTTCGTCGATGGCAAGGGCATCGTCCACGACCTGACGTGCCCTTACACTCCGCAGCAGAACGGCATGGCTGAGCGGGAGATGCGCACGGCCGTCGAGTCCGTGAGGACAAAGCTGCTGCACATGGGCGTGCAGAACCTCTGGTGGCACCTTGCTCTACGACAAGCTGTCTGGGTGCGCAACTGCTTGGAGCGGTCGACGACGCCGCCAGGGACGACTCCGTACCAGCTGCTGACCGGGAAGCCCGACCTCACGCTGGCGCGTGTGTGGGGCTGCATGGTGCAGTTCATGGTTCCTGAGCAGCAGCGCAGTGGGAAGTTGGAGCCGAAAGCTCGCTGGGGGCTTCACTTGGGCATGTCGCCGGACAGTAATGGCTGGGAGGTGCTCGGCCTGACCGACAA